TCTATGTTGTAACTATTTCTGAATTACTAATAAAGATACGAGCAAGGCCTCACCTTAAAACCAAAAAAAAAAAAAAATTTAAATAAATTTACAATTACTCGATCTGAAAAGCGAAGCTTAAGATTTTTTACTGTATTTATAGAAAATTCTTGTATAAATAAAGGAAGATTATTAGGTGAAATATTATTTTTATTAATAAATTATAATAATATAGTTCCAAATGTAGGTGATATATTTGTTGTACCAATAAAATCAGTTGTAATAGATTCAATAATTGTATTTACTTGCATAGTAATCTCTGAAACTGAAACATAATCTGCTTGAAAAACTAAAGAAAGTCTATGAAGTTGTAAAAGTATATCTGCTAAAAAATGTATTACAATTAAAAAATCTTGATTAATACATCTATAAAGCTATTAAGCAGTTTTTTGACCTTTTTGTAAGTCTTCCAATAGTGCACCAATTACTGAATTAATAATCTGATAAAGATTAGTAACTACATTACTTAATAAAAGCTATCTAGTTTTAATAACTTGCAAGATATCTAAATTAGGCTCATTTAAATAATTTTGAATTATTCGCAAAGTTTGAAGTCATAAATATGATCGGCTAAAATAACTATAAAGCTGTCGAATAATTTCATCATAAGTTTCAAAATATGGAGTTTGTTCTGCTACATTTTTAGAAGCAAGTGCTAAACAGTGATTTATACAATAATGTTTAGTAAGAAATAGAAGACGAGCTTTTAACTGTGTTGCTATTCCATTTACATATTCTAAATTGATAATTAAGGAGTTTCAAAATTAATAAATAGGTAACGTATTTTAAAATTAAATAAACCTTTTTGAATACAAGTCACTTTTGTTATAGTAAACTTTCAATATAGTAAAGATTTTTTTGCCTGATTACTTTACTATAACAAGAGTAACTTGTAGTATTTTTACTAAGTTGATTTATAAATTGAAAAAATAAAAACTTTTGATATTAATTTTGAAACCTCTTATTAATAAGCTAATATAATTTAAATAGATTATTAAAATAATATTTTCCTAAATTAATACTTGCGCTATTACTTCCAAAGTGATAAAGCTTTTCTAATGATAGATGTTTAGCAATAATAAATTGATCCAAGTCTTTAAGAATTGCATTTGATGAAGTATTTTGAAGTTTAATAATATTTAAATAACAAAATATAGGTATATTATGTGATATATGTTTTAAAACAATAGCAAGATTTTTTTTATTAGTAATCATATTGCTTTTATCGATCATAAGACTCCTGTTTGTAATTCATTAAGTGTAGCTTCTTCAATAATACGTGCAATTGCAGTAATAAATTGTTTGTCGGCATAGTCATTAATATATGAACTATATTCACTACGGCTAGATTGAGTTGTAGTTGTTAATACAGATAAATTTAAAAGACTTGTGCTACTTGGTAAAATATTATTATTGGTATTTTGAATTTGCAACTCAACAAGATAGCATAAATCTTCATATATATGTGCAGCAAGATTATGCTTTATAAGAAAATAAATATTCATCATTTTTCTTATAGTTTGTAATTGGTCAGATTCAGTATGTCGCAACATACTAGTTATAATACTAACTTGATCTTTATTATGAGTATATACAACCTTTTTATGATCAATTCGCTCCATATGCCATTGAAGATACTGCTCTTTAAAATATTCTGTATTAGTTACAAAAATATTGTTACATTTTGCATCAGTATACCATGTACAAACCATATATTTGCTATTTTGTTTTATTACTAAATCAACTCATGGATAAGTTTTTTTCCAATTTGGATTCCATTTTAAATTTTTGTGGCAAGACATTCATGTTTAAGTTTTTTTGAGTTAATATCATTATCGACTTTATCTTGCTTGTTATTAGATTCTTCACTAGCCGTAGTATTATTATCATAACTATTATAGATATCACTAAAATCAAAGTCTTCATTAAATAAACTTTTACTTTTATTTTCAATAAGCGAGTACAATCAAACCTCTATAAATGCAACATGTACAGACCAGCCTAAAACGTATATTTAGAGAGGTTTGCATTTAGAGAGAGCTATTCAAATTGCAGCTTTTAATATTTAATCTGCAAACTTGTGTAATAAACTTAAATACTGACTTCTGATTGGCTACGTGCACTTAGAGAGGTTAGTATAATATAAAAAATCTTTTGAGTAAACGTGTATTTGCAGAATATAGAATATGCATTTAGCACTAATAATTTCATATAGCCAAGACAAAAACGTGTATTTAGAGAGGTATTGCATTTATGGAGGTTGCATTTAGGGAGGTCCGACTGTATAATAGTTTTTGTTTTTTAGATGCTTGTATTTCAAAACCAAATGATGTAATTTTACTTTGCTTCTCTTTAAGGTTGTCTTTAGAATTAGACATTTTGATCGTGAAATAAAAAAAGTAAAAAATAATTTATTATTTAATGAACACCTTTATAAATTTACTTATAAAATTCTATTGCTTCTATTAAATTCAATTTTATATTTGGCATAATAACTAATTTATTCTTAAAATCATATAAAAGTTAGAATATTAAACAAAAAATATATATTTAATCTCGCTATTTTTTTTATAAATTTAAGCTATTCTAAATTTATTCTAGATTTTTATATACTTATATATTTAAGTTTATTATGTTTCATTATTATGCTTATAATAGACTTTAATTATTTTACTTTTTTAAATTAGTATCAGAAAATATTACAATTTCTTACAAACTAGTTATACGATAAATTTAAAATACATATACAATTTTTAAACTTATACTTATTTGAAACTTTATTAATATTATATAATAAGGTAAAACTTGAGTTTTTTAGATCGCATTATTTTTCGTTGACAGATTGAAAAGGCAATCGATACAATAGTACACTGGCATTATGTGGAATTCTGAAGTTATAGACAAAATCTGGTTTATATAGCTTCAATTAAGTATAACAAAAATAGAGCAAAGAGAAACAAAATCAATCAAATAACTATTTGAAGCATGGTGATACAAGTGCCAAGATGAATAGAGGCCAGATGTAAAGGCAAACAGCAGCAAGTGGCCAAACAATGGTCTTTGAAAGTGAAATATTCGCACCTAGCCACCTACTCTATGCATACTATTTTTGCAAAACCTTCATCTGTAATAAAAATAAACATAATCTAAAAAAACTCGGGTTTTACTTCCCATAATATCCTTATAAAAATTTTTTATTTTAGCTGCAAGCACCATGAATCTTTTAAATAGCAAAGGTAATTTTATAATAAGAATCAGGAACAGCAAGAAAAATAGATATAAAAATATGTAAAATGTATACAGGTTCTTGTATATCACTGTAGCTATGTAAGGTTTTTGCACTGGCAAAACTCTGTGAAGCCTTACAATAAGGCTCTGTACTACCAAAACAGCTATAAAGCCTTAATTCAAAGGCAAGTAATATCGAAAAGAAAGATAACTGCTAAAGCTGGTGTATTAAATTTAAAGCATTTTTCTTTCTGTCATTGGATATTTTGTCTTGAATTTAATGCACCAATTTGGGCCTCTTCTGAGCCAAAGCTGAGTTAGATTTAAAGCAATTTCTTCCTGTTCTGTCTCAAATATGATGCATAATTTGGGCCCTTTGCGGACAAAGTTGATACGTTAGATTCAAATCTGGTGCATTAAATTTAAATCTTTTATTTTCATGTGAAATAATCATACTGTAATCTGTATAGCCGTAGGATTATAGTACAATATGATCTTATCACCTGCCAAATAAAATAGCTACTGGATATTACACTTCTATATATTCTGATCTGAATCTAAATTATTACAGTATTGGTAAATGAATATAGAGCACATTTTCAAATGTGACAAAGCATGAAATTGATCTCCTCTGTGGTGATAGGATAACAAATCATGTAAATTTTGTTGGTTAGGGGCTGAGAGGGCTGAGTTCACGATTTTTTCATTGTAGTTTTTTGCTTTTCGCCATGCTCTTTAATGATCATCGATTATCAATTAATCAAACCGGCAAAAAATTTAGAGAAAAAAAGTATGTAATGCCAAAGTAACAAAAAACAAAAATACAGATTAAGACCAAAATATTCAAAAATTAAAGAAAATATATTTTTGCATTAACTTAGAAAAGTACACACATAAAATATCTAGATGAAAGATTACATGCTCTTGAATCGTATCATCATCTGAATCACAAATCGTATTAGTATCAAAAAATCAAAAAATCAAAAAATCGATGTATCGAAGTAACTATAAAAATAAAAAACAAAAATTTCCTTTATGGAAATATAAGGAAATAATGACATACAAGCTATTATACTGCATAAACATAAATAACAAACAGTATCACACACAACAGGTAAAAAAGTTTTACAGCACTAACAAATAAGGAAAAAACCAATATACTGATAAAGATATAATGATAAATTTACTTTAAATTTTTGTATTATCAAGTTGTATTATGTTAAAGTGAAAATTAAAAAAAAATATTTATATATTTTTGTTTAAGCACACTTATATATAAGAACACAATTATTTGCTTTACTGTGCACAAATTATTTTTAATAGAGAACAGCAAAAAGGTTTAAACTATGCACAAATTTTTAATAGTATTCTCATGAAAACTCTGAGAACACAAATCTTGAATACTGGTAGTATATTGTACTACATTGTGATACTTTTTTAAGACAATTATCTAGAAATCTAAAAACTAATTTGGTTTTAAATTATGTGCTAAATTAGACATTATATCTCAATGATTTTAATAGCTTTAATGATTATTATTGATTTTATATGTTTTTTTTTTCAAAAAATTCACTTTTTGCTAAAAATTTTTAAACTAAACCACAATTAGAAAAATTACTAGTAATTTTATAATAAACATACTCTTCGGAAATATACTACTCGTAGTATAGCAAATTTTAAAAAATTTCACTTTTTTTAAAAAAATTATTTTTTAATAATTTTCTTAATAATTTTAAAAAAAATTTTTGCTAAATTATTCTTTGACAATTATTAGATTTTTGTATATAAAAATTATTTAATTATATAATTTTTAGATTTTTAAAAGTTTATAACAAATGTACTACCGATAGTACAAAACATAAAAATATATCTATTAAACAAACTAATAATTAAATATTAAAACAAATATTGCTTTAAATGGAATTCTTTAA